AAGCCCAATGTGCGGTGGAACGACGTGGCCGGGCTGGAGGGAGCCAAGGAGGCGCTGAAGGAGGCCGTCATCCTGCCCATCAAATTCCCCCACTTGTTCACCGGTGAGGATTGTGCCCGGGGCGGGGGCAGGGGCAGGGGCAGGGCTGCCCCCTCACACCCCAGAGCCCCCGGCAGGCCCTGGCGCCGCGGCGTTGCAGCCCCGGGAGCCGGCGAGGAGCGAGGCCAGGCCGGTGCTGCCTGCTGAGCGTCGCCAGCGGGTCCAGGGCAGCGATTCTTCCCTCTGCTCAGCGCTGGGGAGGCCACGTCTGGAGTCCTGCGTCCAGCTGTGGGCCCCCCACGGCAGAAAGGATGTGGGCACATTGGAGAGTTCAGTTGGAGGGCAACCAAAAATGGTTGTGGGGCTGGGGGACGTGACTGGTGAGGAGAGGCCGAGGGAACCGGGCTGATTGAGTCTGCAGAAGAGAAGACCGAGGGGGATTGAATAGCAGCCTTCACCTCCCTGCAGGGGGGCTGCAAAGAGGATGGAGCTGGGCTGGTCTCAGTGGGGGCAGATGGCAGGACAAGGAGCAATGGGCTCCAGCTGCAGCAAGGGAAGGTGAGGTTGGATATTAGGAAAAACTTTCTCACTAGGAGGGTGGTGAAGCACTGGAGCAGGTTACCCAGAGAGGTGGTGGAGTCGCCATTCGTGGAGGCTTTTAAGACTCGGCTCAACAAAGCCTTGGCTGGGATGACGTAGTTGGGACTGGTCCTGCTTGGAGCAGGGCTCGGACTAGACCAGCGGTTCTCAACCTTTTTTGTACCAGGACCCATTTGCAGACATCGTTGGCCAGTCCTGACGCAGTGCCCCTCACCCCCAGCCCCCCAGCGTGTGGGGCAGGCAGGCTCCAAGCAGCCCCTTGCAGGCTGGAGCTCTGCCAGCCTGCAAGGGAAGAGCCACGGTTTCCCACATTTCTCCTTTAAAGGAGAATCAATTTTTAAAGTTTTTTTGATCCATTTAAATTTTATTCGCGACCCTTTCCTATATTCTTGCGACCTCCCCTTTTGGGTCACGACACATGGATTTGAGGACTCCTGAAGTCCCTTCCAACTCCTCATGCTCTGTGACTCCAGCCAGGCCCTAGCAAGGGCAGCGCTAGGCAGACTGACCTTGGCCAGGAGGGAGGTGCTATGGAGGGGGCAGAGCTGGAACCCCAGCTTCACCCCCTCCAGCGAGCCCAGCCCGGGCCCCAGCAGACATGGGCGGCTGACTCACAGCGCTGTGTTGCAGGAAAACGCACGCCCTGGCGAGGGATCCTGCTCTTCGGGCCTCCGGGCACGGGGAAGTCATACCTGGCCAAGGCCGTGGCAACCGAGGCCAACAACTCCACCTTCTTCTCCGTGTCGTCTTCGGACTTGATGTCCAAGTGGCTGGGGGAGAGCGAGAAGTAAGTCTGGCTGCTCCAAACCGCTCATGTGAGCAGGGCAGAGCATGCGCAGGCCCTGAGCCACCCCCAGGGAGTGGCCTGGGCTGGGGGCTGCCATGGGGGAGGGCCCTGGTGCCATGGGGTGGGCACAGGCAGGAAGCAGGGGCCCATCCTGGCTGCGCACGTGGGTTAGGGTGGGGGCTCACCACTGTCCCTTGGCCTCAGGCTGGTGAAGAACCTCTTTGAGCTGGCGCGGCAGCACAAGCCCTCCATCATCTTCATCGACGAGGTGGACTCGCTGTGCGGCTCCCGCAACGAGAACGAGAGTGAGGCTGCGCGTCGCATCAAAACCGAGTTCCTGGTGCAGATGCAAGGTGCGGGCTCCCCACTTCCCACCGTGGGCTCTGCGTGCCAAGGCTGCAGGCGTGGAGGGGCCAGGAAAGGGACGGGACACGAGACCAAACCCATGAGGATGCCCTCTGTGCTGGTTGCCCTTGCCTCGCCTGACCAGCTCAGCCTGGCGGCTGCCTGACCCCAGCCTCTCCAGGGCTCCCAGATGCCCCACTGCCCCTCACTGGCCTTTCTGCTCCCGGCAGGTGTTGGCAATAATAGTGACGGGATCCTCGTCCTCGGTGCCACAAACATCCCGTGGGTGCTTGACTCGGCCATCAGGAGGAGGTGAGCGGGGTTGTGGGCACGGGGGCTGGCACTGCTCTCCTGCTTCCCGTGTTGCCTTAGTGCCCTGTGTGCGCCTGCAGCCTGTCCCGGTGTTCCTTGCCCCCTTGCCTGGCAGCCAGGAGGCTGGACCCCAGCAAGGCCTGCTACTGCCCCTCCCTTGTCCAGGTTCGAGAAGCGCATCTATATCCCGCTGCCAGAGGAGGCGGCACGGGCCCAGATATTCAGGCTGCACCTGGGGAACACACCGCACAGCCTGTCGGAGGCCAACATCCAGGAGCTGGCCCGGAAGACGGACGGCTACTCGGGGGCCGACATCAGCATCATCGTGCGCGACGCCCTCATGCAGCCCGTGCGCAAAGTGCAGTCGGCCACACACTTCAAGAAGGTGAGCGTGGGCGTGCGGTGGCACCGGCGTCCCCCACTACAGCCACGCGGGCTGTGTTGTGCCCCTGCTGTCTCACCGGGCAGACTGAGCCCCTGGGCTGGCCCCGGGAGTGGGGAGGTACCAGAGATGCACACGGGCCAGCCCATCAGTGCTGTTCTCTCTGGCCCATTCCAGGTCCGAGGCCCGTCTCGGACCAACCCCAACGTCAGCGTCGATGACCTCCTGACCCCGTGCTCTCCTGGAGACCCCGGGGCCATAGAGATGACCTGGATGGAGGTGCCCAGCGACAAACTAATGGAGCCGACAGTTTGCATGGTAAGGGAGGCGCCATCTCAGGGCTGCTGTGGGGTTGGGGTCTGGAGCCCTGTATCGTGGGGGGCAGCGTGAGACCTGCTTGGTGCTCCAGACCCCGTCCTGGGGCTCTCCCTGTCCTCCGTGCCAGCGTGGCCCTCACGCCCCTTCCCCTTGTTGTGTAGTCGGACATGCTGCGCTCACTGGCCACCACCCGCCCAACG